CCCCCGGCAGCAGCTGAATCAGGGGCGCCTGAGGCAGAGCCAGACTATCGTAAGGGGGGGCTATGAGGGGTCTGGGGTGGCATCCCCTCCCACCCCACTCCAGACCCCTCATAGCCCCCCCTTCTGATAGTCCGGCATATCTGATAATCCGGCACCCTCTGGGTCCTAAAGGTGCCGGATTATCGGAAGTTTACTGTAATATGTTTAGCTTACTAGATTTGAAAACAAAATAAAGCGACAGCCTTAGAACAGGCATTATGAGTGTTTATGCTCTATTTCAGAGGGCAAAACTAACAAGGCTTAAGTCAAGTTTCACATTAATCTTCTTTTAAAAGACCTCACTAATGTTAGAGTATTAGATTCATTTTCCTTTACAACATTGTAAATAAAATCCAGTTTATCAAAAATATTTACCAGTATTAGCAGGGCTTAAATCTAACTTTTCACTGGGTAAAAAACTGCCACTAGAAATTGTTGTTGAAGACAAATAACCAACGACTGCCTCTCGTTCCTGCAGAGCAAAGCTGGTTGACCATCCTTTAGAAAGTGTTACCTAGGGTCAAGAAAATATGTCTGTATGCAGTGCTACAGTCCAGACAAACAAAAATTAAAATACAAACACTTAATTTTGAGCTCAGTTCAAGTGTAGAAACCTTCATGATTTGAACAGTCAGGCAAAACGAAGGTTCATCATTGCTCAGTAGAAAAATCTCACACACACGCTCAGTAGAAAAATCACACACACACACACACACACACCCCCCTCCACCCCATATTGCTTCCCAGAACTGTACGGAGATCATACACCATGTAAATCAGGTAATCTACTGGTGCTCAGATTTGGCTATTTCTCATCATAGATCTGCTTGAGTAACAACAGTGCAGATCTCAGAGGAATGTAAGTGCAGTATAGGAAAGCATGTTTATTTTATAGATGACTTGCAGAGTTAGACTCATGGGTTTGAGCCTTTTTTGGTTCTGTGTTTCATATACATGAATTAAAAGGGACAAATTATTTGAATAGTTCAAAGACTTTGCTGCTGTCTTTTTAAAGTGTTAAAAAAACAGGTTTCAATGACAAAATTAGGGCTGTCAAGAAATTAAAAAAATTAATTGCGCGATTAATTGTGTGTGCTGCCCTTTTGAAGCGCTGCCACAACGTTCCAAAGGGGCAGTGCTGAAGAAGCCTGGGATCAGCTGGAGTCCTCAGCTGACCCCAGGCCACGTTGTGCTGCCCCTTTGAAATGCCTGAGTGGCACTTCAAAGGGGCAGTGCCACACAGCTGACCCCAAGCACTGCCCCTTTGAAATGCTGCGGTGCATCAAAGGGGCAGCTCTGCTCAGAGCCCGGGGTCAGATGGGGACTCCAGCTGATCCCAGGCTCCTATTGTGCTGCCCCTTGGAAACGCCCTGGCAGCGCTTCAAAGAGGGCAGCGCTGCTGAAACACCTGCAATTAACGAATTACAAAAATTAACATGTTAACTGTGTTCTCTGTTAACTGTAGGTGTTAATGCGTGTTGACAGCCCTACTAAAAATCCTCTATATTCACACTACTTCTCCAGTAGTCTATGAAAACTTTCAGAAAATAAATAATAAACAAGACCTGAAATTCTACTGAAAAAGGAGCAAAAATGTATGCATGTTTTATACATCATAAAGCAACAAAATTATGGCATAAATAACTCCTTCCTTGCACATAACACTTTGTACCTTCAATTTCATATTTAAAATTAATAAGAAAGGTTTAAGAAATAATAAGTCAATAGAATTTAAGTTAGTATAGTTATTTTAAAGACATGATACATGAATTTCTAATATAACTAACCGTACTATCAGGTATACATGATGGCCCAGAATCTGTAATTACTCCCCTTCCACCATCAGCAGCACAAACTGGTAAATCTTGACTCATGACAACAGACTCCTTGGGGAAGGCTAAATACAAAAAATATTGCAAAAGTAAATCAAGACCAGGGAACAGCTACAAATCCAATATTACCAAATTTTAACACTAGATGGCTACAATACATTAGTCTTGCTGCCACAGTTCCTATAGAACAAGGCTATTCAACTATGGAAGCCCTGGGAGCCACAATGATACTTACAGCACATGCGGAGGGTGACAACTTAAGTGTGGTTGCATGTACATGCAAATATATATATATGGATATATATGTGCAAAAACCTTTTCACACTGATAGGCATGAACACACAACATACAGGCCCCAGTTAAGTCAGTTCTGCTGATAATAAAATGCAATATTTACTCATTTCCACCCATGTGACAGCACTTTTGATGAGCAATGACAGTCCAGGAATTTAACTACTAAAACACATATCAACCCAAATTGCACCATAAATCCAAACTGCATCGTGGGCCGCAAACAAACAGGCTGCAGGCCGCATGTGGCCTATAGGCCACATTTTGAATAGCCCTGCTATAGAACTTGTTTATTTGTGTCCATGTCTACTACTTCTTTATCACTTTTAAAAGACTATCTGCTCTACTGTGTTACTTTCAAGAACAGTAACTGCACTGATAAATACAGGGTGGGTTTTCTTAGCTGGCTTTTTCACCGGTTGCTAGGGATATGTTCTCTTCTGCAAAATATTATCTGAAGAACTTAATCAGCGGGGGAATCAGCAGGGGAAGTGTACCATCAAGAGTGAGAAGAAAAAAACCGTTACCCCCTTGGGGTATGTAGAGGTCTTCCAGGGAGTACCTCAACTCATCTAGAGATTTGTCTAGTTTCAGAAAAGGCGACATGAAAAATATTAGCAAAGTTAGTACAAACTAAAATTTCATTTTTTTATTAAATGGTAAAAATAAGAAAGGAAGCAACTTTTCAACAACAGTGTACTGTGACACTTCCATGTTTATGTCTGATTTTGTAAGCTAGTAGCTTTACGTGAAGCAAAATGTGGGGGGATATACATGACAAATAAGCCTCTTGAAAAAGATGGCAGGCTGGAAAGGTTGATAACCACTGAATTAAAAGATCAAGAGCTCTCCATTTAAGGCCTACTAGTGAACAGACTCTCAGCTCACCTCCTATATCTCTACAGTAAGAAGCGGATGATAAATGTTGGTGGAGTAATAAATAATAGGGAAAAGGCAGTAATACAAAGTCATCTGAAACGCCTGGTAATCTGGGCTCATTTAAAAAAAATGTGATAATGTAGCCAAATGCAAAGTTCTACATGTAGGAACAAGGCGTGCATGCAAGATCTATAGAATGAAGGAATATATTCTAAAAAAGCAGTGACTCTGAAACAGGATTTAGGGGTCAATAGGAGTTCCCAGTGTGATGCTGTAGCAGAAAGGACTAATGCAATTCTTTGATAATTAAACAGAGAAACAGTAATGAGATGATTTTACCTCTGTTTATAGCACTGAGGAGACAGATACTGAAAGACAGTGTACAATTTTCATGTCCATATTTTCAACTAGATGTTGAAAAATTGAACAGGGTACAGAAATGAGCCACAAAAATTATTCAATGTGCCTTACAGTGAGATATGAGTTCAAACTACTTAGTTCATGAAAAAGAGAGACATGATTTGATCACAGTGTATCTGTGCCCTTTACAAAGAGAAAACACCAGGTGCTGAAGAGTTCTTCAATCTAGCAAAGAAATGCATAATAAAAAAAAGGCTTAGAGCCAAAGCCAGACAAATTCAAACTAGGAGCCAGGCAAAAACAATTTTAACAGTGATGGCAATTATCCATAGGAACAAACACCAAGGAAAAGGATAGGAGTCTTCCTCTTGAGATCTTCAAATTAAGACAGGATGCTTTTATAGATAGCATGCTTTAACTAAACACAAGTTATGCTCTGCCCCCTACTCAATGTGCTCTTGTGGGGGCTAGGCTCCCAAAACTGGAATTTTCTGGTCCAGCAACATCCATGGTACAGCAGGACCACAGATGTTCCTTCATCAGAGAACCCCAGTAGCTTATTGGCAGGAAGGCAATTCAGGAGGGGCCACGCTGAAGCAGTGGGAGGGGGCAGGAGCTGGCAGCAGCCCCCGACAGCCTGCAGCACTGGGACCGGGTCAGGGCAGTCCCTGACAGTGCAGGATCAGGCCGGCGACAACTTGTGGAAACGGGACCAAGGCTGGGTCTGGCAGTAGCCCCCAGTAGCGTGGGGCTAGAGCCCTGGACAGCCCACAGAAGCGAGGCCATAGTCTGTGGGCTGCCACAGGGCAGGAGCCAAGGCTCTCGGCAGCCCGCAGCAGAGGGTCCCTGTCTGGGGCTGGAGGAAGCCCCAAGAGCATGGGGCCTGAGCCCTGGACAACCCATGGAAGTGGGGCCAGAGCCCGCAGGCTGCTGCGGGGCTGGATCTGGAGCCCGAGCCCTTGGCAGTCTGACCAGAGCCAGCCCCCGGCAGACTGTGATACCATGGGGCGGGAGCCCCATATGGCAGCGTGGGCTTCTGGAGCTTGGTAGGTGGTCCAGCTGGTGCAGCACAAGCGGGGTCAGCGATACAGCAAGGATTGGAGGGAGTCCTTCCTCCCATATCTGGCAAAGTTGGTGCCTGGGGGCTATGGCCAGGACCCATCTCTACTCCAGCAAATTCCCTGGAGGGTGCTGGATCAGAGATGCCCAACCTGAAGTAATGTTAATATCACAAGAATAAGCATGCATAACAATGAATAAATCTTTCACATACTGAGCAAAATTAATTGCTGATCTCAGAGTCAAAGAGAAATTTATCTTGAACTCATTGCTTAGTTATAGTACTAGAATTAAGAACAGTATGTAGAAGATGGCAACAGAAATTTTAAGAGCACTAGTTTAATTGATTTAACTCACTCAAGAACCAATGGTCTCCCACACCCTCTGGCATCTTCAAAGGATTCTTATATTCCAATATGCTGACTATTTCACTGTAGCAATGAATTCAAGTACTTTTGCAAAATTAAAGCTAGATTACATCTTATTTATTTACTGGAAGTACTGCTGACATGAACTAGGGCAGGGACCCATTTTAGGTCAGGGGCCTTTGAAGCAAAGACAACCAACCAACCAACCCGTGGCCCCAGACTGAGAAAGAGAAAAACATTCCCCACTGGAGATGTTAAATTGAGGTTCACTGACTAGTCAAGTAGTCAATGGAACTTCCATGGTGCTTCAGCATTTTAAAGGGGCAAGTGCCGCACATGGATCAGCTGTGCAGTGGCTGTCCCGGGGTTTCAAAGAAGCAGCACCGCACAGCTGATCCAGGCTCAGCTGTGTGGCTCTGCCGCTTTGAAGTACCCCTCCCCACCCCTTTGTTGTCTCTATCTCAGAGGTGTGGAAGCAGGCTCTTTGCTGGCCAGGCCTCTCGTGCGTATTGCCATCCAAGCAAAAGGTCAACTTCCCCTTGATGAAAACCCTTACACTATGTAACTTAAGGGTCAGCGACGAACAGGAACCAAAACCAGACATAAAAAGTTCATGTAAAGTTCATGCTGGTTGTGCTGACTGTGCCATGCCCGATAAGGCAGAAAAGGAAAAACAGGAAACCATCTCACCCCCTTACTCCTGTCACTTATCAGACAGGGTCTGCTAGCCTATCACAAAAAGCGCGCAAAAGCTCTCTATAAAACAGCTTCCCCTCCTGTATCAAATTGAGGAATCCCGAATAAACATTGGATGGCGGAATATGAGCCAGGTCCGAGGACTGATCACCCGAGGGCCACCTCCCGCTCACCGAACCAAACGAGTTCCTGTAGAGCGTAACGTATACCAAACATAACGAATACCAAATATGTTGTTGTTGTAGTTTGTGTGTCTGTTAAATGTAAGTATTGTTATCTGAAATTGTTTAGAGGTATTGTTAAGTAGTAGTGTTAAAAGTTTTAGATAAATGATTAGTCTTATAAGTAAGACTGATGTAAATGTAAATGTTAATAAACCCTAGTCCCTTGTTAACAACTATTGGGATTTAGAGAAACCTCAAGGAATTTTCTTTACTGTATTGCATTTTGCTTATTGGACATTCTAATAATTATTTGGTGCCTGTGTATGTAAGAAATTGATAAAATCATAATTTATACGTAGAAGTCCTTTAATAAAAGTTTAAAAGATATTTAGTAATAGTTTGCCTGTTCCTGCGCCTTCCTGGGACTAGCCACATTTCCGAGCCTTTTACTTTAAACCACAAGAGGCAGCAAGGGGGGGGAAGAGGAGAGAATCGACTAGTCAACATCCCTATTCCCCACATTCCCCTCACACATCAGAGCCTAGAGCGGCCTAGGCTAGTAGATTGTGTGCCCCAACCCCAGAGAGGGAAATAGGGGAGGCTGCCAAGGGGCTGCAGTGCCATTTGCAGGGTCCCCAATGCTTGGGGACCAGATTCAGGCAAGCCAGGGGGCACAACACCTTTCATAAACTAATAATAAGAATTTGAATTAACATTTCCAAGACAATACCATGTTTCAAGCAAGGTTCCTAAACTGAACACCAATGTGACAATGCAACCTGCAATAATGCCTCTCTGTGCAGGTATTTCGGATTAAAGTGGATAGCTAAGCAAAATTGGTCCCTGACAAGAAACAATGTTCGGTTAGCAGCTCTGATAGGAATGTGAATGTGGATGTAAAATAATCACATCTGGAACAACGTTAACAGAATTGTTTGGAATTGGGAGGTGACCAGAAGAATATGGAATGGTGCTTAATGCTGAAAAATTTAAGACATTTTTATATAAAATCTAGTTACTACTTTAAATCAAAATACTTTACAAAAACACAACTATTTATAAATATCTATACCATAAAAACACAGAATTGGATGACCTCTCAAGGTTCCTTTAAGTCCCTGCAGTCATGGCGGGGCTGAGCACCCTCTAGTCAGACCATTCCTGACAAGTGTTAGTCTAACAGTACTTGCTCTTAAAATCTCCAAAGATGGAGATTCAACAACCTACCGAGGCAATTTATCAGGCTTACCTACCCTGACAAAGTTTTTCCTAATGTACACCTTAAACCTGCTTTGCTACAATTTAAGTCCATTGCTTCTTGCCTTACCAGGAGTTAAGGAGGATAATTATTCCTCCCTCAACCTTGTAACACCCTTTTAGGATACGTGAAAGCTGTTAAGTCCCCTCTTAGTCTACTAGTCTTCTCTTTTCCAGGATAAAACCCCCCAATTCTTTCAATCTTGCCTCAGAAGTCATGTTTTCTATACCTGTAGTCATTTTTGTTGCTATTCTCTGGATCTTCTCCAATTTCTCCACATCTTTCCTGACATGTGGTGCCCAGAACTGGACACAATATGCCATGAGAAGCCCAATTAGAGCAGAGAGGAAGAATTGCTTCTCATGTCTTGCTTATAAGCACTCTTGCAAATGAAACCCAGAATTATGTTTGCTTTTTCTGCAAGTGTCACACTGTTGACTGATATTTACTTCTGGTCCACTATGTTCCCTAAATCCCCTTCTGCAATACTCCCTCCTAGATAGCCACTTACCATTTTGTACGTGTTAAACTGATTATTCCTTCCTAAATGGAGTATTTTGCATTTGTCCTTACTGAATTTCATCCTACTTATCTTCAAGCATTTCTCTAGTTTGTCCACATCATTTTTTAATTTTAATCTTATCCTCCCAAAGCACCAGAACCTCCCTCTCCAGCATAGTATCATCCATAAAACTTAGTAAGTGTACTTTCTATGCCATTACTGAAATCACTGATGAAGATACTGAACAGAACTGAACCCAGAACAGTTCAGGCAACAGTTATCCAACGCGTTATGCACCCACTTTATAACAGCACCATGTAGGTTGCCTAGCCTAGTTTGTTAAGGAAGTCATGCAAGACTGTATCAAAAGCCTTAATAAAGTCTAGATATACCACATCTACTGTTTTCCCTTTATACACAAGGCTTGTTACCCTGCCAAAGAAAACTACAGTAAAACTCCAATTGTCCGGCATCCAGTGGTCCGGCACTCCTGATAGTCCAGCACCAACTGGAACCAGGAAGTGCTATGGCCAGCCTGACAACTGGAGCTGCTCTGCCTCCGGCTTCCCCAAGTCAGCGGCTGGCGG